TCAAGCAGTGGAGGAGGCCAAGGTTAAGGCCGTCGAGGAGTACAAGACTTCGGCGGAGTACCGGAAGGAGATGGTCGAGGTGGGGACAACGAGCTACCGCAAATGTTTTAAACTTAGCAGGTGGCTGACCTGACGCGAGTTCCCCCAGCTCGACCTCAGTGTCATTACTACCTCAAGGATCACAAAGGAAATGGCCATTGAAGCTGCTGAAGATCCAGACTCCGAAGCAGAAAGCGACAGCAACATGTTCGATGACGTTGAGGAGACCAGTGCTGGCGAGAGCAGCATGAAGACAGATCCTCCTGCCAAAGCCTTCGACAAGGGTGAGGAGCCCCGAAGTGATTAGATGCCTCTTCTTTTCCCTTTAATGATGTATATCCCGAGCCTCCGAGCTCGGTTCATAGTGAAAGTTTATCTTTTTTCTTCTTCTTTCTCTTTTTTAACTCAAAACTTTACATCAATGAAATATAAGCATTTTGACTATCTTTGTGCAAAAACTTTCTAAGTGTAAACAACTCCCGCAACTAGCGAACTAAACCACATAGGAGCAAAAATTTGTTAGTGTTGGTTGCCCCGAATTGTCAAGCTAACAAGCTGGACTACGAGTAGGGATAACCGAACTAGATTTTTCTAAGTGTTGGTTACCCTGAACTGTCGAGCTAACGAGCTGGACTCCGAGTAGGGGTAACTTTGCATTATTGTATGCCGAGGTGAGCAGACATTGTAGGGTATATACCCGACCTATCTGCGCGCAAGCTACTCGCTTAGGTGTCGGTCATCCCTTAGTATCGAGCCGTCGGGCCTGATGTCAAATGGGATAACCTGTTGTTATATGCCGAGGTGGGTTAGACGTCGTAGGGTTTGTACCTGAGCTATCTATGCCTTAGGCATGAGAACCAATTTGTCTATGCTGAAGAGGCGATTAGGACTTGTCTGCCTATGCCGAAGAGGTGACTACGACTTGTTTGCCTATGCCAAAGAGGCGACTAGGACTTGTCTGCCTATGCCGAAGAGGCGAGTAGGACTTATCCACCCATGCCAAAGAGGCGACTGGAACTTATCCGCCCATGCTGAAGAGGCGACTAGGACTTATCCGCCCATGCCGAAGAGGCGACTGGGACTTATCGTAGTGCCAAGGTCTTATGCCAGCTCAACATCATGGCCCTTAGGGTTCTGTGAGTGACTAGCAGTCTCTCTCCAGTTTGGTGATCACAAGTAGTATTCTCTTAGGTTGCCAATGTTCCACGCTCGAGGTACTTGCTTCCCTTCCAGAGTCTTGAGCTCGTACGTACCTTCCTCGAATACCCATTTTACTTGGTACGAACCTTCCCAATTTGGTCCGCGCTTACCGACACCAGGCTCATGTACCATAACCTTCCGAAAAACCAGGTCACCGACGCGAAAGTGTCGCTTTTTGACCCAGGCTTTTTAATACCGAGCTACTCTCTGTTGGTAAGTTGTAGTCCGGATGTATGTCAGGTTTCGTACTTCTTCCACCAGGTCTAGGTTGGTATGGAGCTCGTCATCATTCGTCTGCTCGTCCTAGGCCTCCAAGAGTAGTGTAGGCACCTTGATTTCTGTAGGGATCACCGCTTTTGTGTCATAAATGAGATTAAAAGGAGTCTCACCTGTGGCGGTCTTGATGGTAGTCCGGTAGGCCCAGAGTACACTGGGCAGTTCATCTACCCACAATCCTTTGGCTCGAGCTAAGCGAGCTTTCATTTCGCGAAGTTTAGCTTTGTTGGTGACTTCTACTTGCCCATTCGCCTGGGGGTGTGCCACAAAGGTGAAATTTTGTTGAATTCCGATTTCGGCACACCAATTCGGAAATTTTATATTCTCGAACTGCTCCCTGTTATCGGAGATGAGTACCCGAGGTAGCCCGAAGCGACACACTATGTTCTTCCAAAAGAAGTTTTGTATGTTGCGGGTTGTGATTGTTGCTAGAGGTTTAGCTTCCACCCACTTCGTAAAGTAGTCTACTCCTACAACCAGAAACTTCCTCTGTCCTGTCGCTGGCGGGAATGGGCCAAGGATGTCAATTCCCCACTRCGCAAAGGGCCACGAGCTAGTGAGGTATTTCAGATCGGTAGTAGGTCGGTGGTGGATTTTAGCGTGCCTCTGAGATTTATCGCACTTCTTGATGAGCTCGAGTGTGTCTGCCTTCATCGTGGGCCAGTAGTAGCCCTGTCGTAACACCTTCTGTGCGAGAGCCCTGCCSCCAAGTGTCCGCCGCACAAGCCTTCATGGGTGTCGCGGAGTACGTACTCGGCATCTAAGGGTCGCAAGCAGCGCAAGTAGGGGAGCGCGAAGGACCTTTTGTACAGATGTCCGTCTATAATGAAGTACTTAGCCGACTGACGCTCTACCCTTCGGGCTGCATTGCGTTCTGCAGTGAGGGTCCCGTGAAGCAGGTAACTCACGAGTGGGTCGATCCAGTTTGATTCTGCTTGTTCTACGGGAGCGACCTCTCCTGCCCCTTGAGAATCCTAGGCTGAGGTAAGTCCTCTATATACACGGTCTGCATGATGTTGCAGCTTGTACGGGCTAATCGGGACAAGGCATTGGCCTCAACGTTCTCAGACCTCGGAATCTGTCTAATGAAGTAAGAAATGAAGCCCCGTAGGATCTCCCTAACTTTGGCCAAGTAAGCAGCCATGGTGGGGTCGCGGGCTTCATACTCGCTGCTGACTTGGTTGACTACGAGCTGAGAATCGCTGCATATGACGATGTGCTTTGCCCTCATCTCTCTGGCTAGGGTGAGCCCGACGACTAATGCTTCGTACTCTGCTTCGTTGTTCGATGTCGCGAACCCGAATCAGAGTGCGTATTACAACTTCACCTCGCTTGGGTCGTACATAATTATTCCTGCACTACTTCCTTGGTGGTTGGACGAGCCGTTGACGTGGAGAATCCAGGGCTCCTCRTCCTAGGTTGGATCTATTCTGACCGGGACCGGTGCTGCACTGGTTGATGCTTCCATCGTCTATTCGGGCTCGATCAACTCGAGAGTTGTGGTACTGAATGTGCATTCTGCCACAAAGTCGACCAAGGCTTGGGCTTTGATAGTCGTCCGAGGTTCATACCCGATGTCGTACTCACTCAGTTCGATAGCCCACTTCGTCAATCTACCAGACACCTCGGGTTTGAGTAGGATTTGCCTTAGAGGCTTGTTGGTGAGGACGACGATGGTGTGGGCTTGGAAGTAAGGACGAAGTTTGCGAGCTGCTATGATTAGCGCGTACACTAATTTGTCGATGTCCGGGTACCTGGTTTCTGCATCCTGCAAATCTTTAATAACATAGTAGATGGGTCGTTGGACCCGATCTACTTCCTTGATTAGTACTGAGCTGACCACCTCGTCACTCGCGGAGAGGTACAACTTTAAAATATCCCCTTCCTCGGGTCGGATTAGAACCGGGGTACTAGCTAAGTATCTTTTCAGCTCATCGAGGGCGAGTTGACACTCTACAGTCCACTCGAAGTCTCTACTCTTTTTTACGGCTTTAAAACAGGGTAGGCGGTGATCTGCCGACTTGGACATAAAACGGCTCAGGGTGGATATCCGGTCATTCAGCCTCTGAACCTCTTTTAATTTGCGGGGTGGTCTCATATCTAAGATGGCCTTTATTTTTTCYGGGTTGGTTTCGATGCCACGTCGGTTGACTATGTAGCCCAAAAATTTACCCGGGTTGTCTCATATCTAAGACACACTTGCTGGGATTTAATTTCATATTATATTTTCATAAAATTTGGAAAACACTTTGCAAATCATTTAACAAAAATTTTGAATACTGGGTCTTCACAACCATGTCATCAACATAACACTCGACTTTATTGTCGATTAATGGCTCAAAAATTTTGTTTACAATTCTTTGAAAGGTTTTCCCGGCATTTTTTAATTCGAAGGGCTTGAACTTGTAGCAATACAACCCGAACTCAGTTATAAAGGCCGTCTTTTCTTCATCAGCGGGGTCCATCCTGATCTGGTTGTAACCACAGTAGGCATCCAAGAAGCTCAGCAACTCATGCCCTGAGGTCACGTCCACTAGGCGGTCGATCTTGGGCAGCGAGAAGCATTCTTTTGGGCAGACTCTATTAAGGTCTGTGTAATCGACGCACATGCGCCATTTGTCGTTGGCATTTTTTACTAGAATTTGGTTAGCTACCCAGCTCGGGTAATTGACTTCCCTGATAAAGTCTGCCACTAAGAGCTTTCCGACCTCTTCGTCGACTATCCTCCAGTGTTATGGGGCGAGGTTGCGCTTTTTCTGTCTAACTGGCCTAACTAAGGGATCGATATTTAACTTACGAGTTAGAATATTGGAATCTATTCCAAGCATCTCTGCTGCAAACCAAGCAATTATGTCTAAATTTTGTAGTAAGAAACTTATCAGCTGAGAGCGAAGTGGTTCATCGATCAAAGCGCCGATCTGGAGAATCTTAGYTGGGTCATCAGTTGAGATCGGGATGTGGACCGTCTCCTCTAATGGTGCAGCTCGCTCGTTGGCATACTCCGTTGATCACTCGAGCTCGATGTCAGCCGCTAGTTTGGCTTTCCCCTTGAGGGCGGCTACGTAGCACTTGCGATACTTGAGTTGGTCACCTCGCACAACCCCCACTCCATAATTCGTTGGGAACTTCATTGCCAAATAGTAGGTGGATACTACTGCACGTAGGGCGTGTGTAATGGGCCGACCTACTATGGCATTGTAAGGAAAGAGAGTTGCGACCACCAGAAACGTGTGCTCGAACCTCACGATATTCGGCCACGTGCCGACCTCTACGGGTACTGGAACTCACCCTAGATGTCTGATCTCCTCACCGCTGAAGCCTACCAGGGAAGTATCTATCGGCTTTAGGTCGCTTTTCTGGAGTTGCAACTTGTCGAATGTGTCCTTGAACAATATGTTTGCCGAGCTACCCGAGTACACTAGGATGCGCTTGACTTCGAAGTCGTTGAGCCTCAGCTTTATCACCAAAGCGTCATCGTGAGGATACTAGATCCCGCGCGCATCATCCTCCATGAAGTAAATTGGGTCTTCAAGTCGGGGTCGCTTCGGCGGGTTCTCCTCTTCATTCCCTAGTTCGCGAACTAAGGTTTGTCCGGCTGCTGAAGTACACCCTGCGATGATGGACCCACCAGTAATCATATTGATTTTCCCGCGGACCGGTCTCTCCTCGAGCAACTGTCGTGGCGGCTGCTCGTTCTGTCTATTGCTGGACTCGGGGGCATTCCTTCTCTGGTCCCCCTGTTGATCTGCTTGCCGATCTGCCTGACTTCTTTCTTCTCGTTGTACAAAGTTTTTCAAGTACCCGTGACGGATGAGCTCTTCAATCTCGTCGTAGAGGATTCTACAGTTCTCTGTGCTGTGTCCGTAGTCTCTGTGGAAATGATAGTAGACATTTTGGTTTCTTGTGGCAGGATCCCCCATCAACTTAGGAGGCCACTTGACAAAAGAGGAGTCCTTGATGGCCATTAGGATTTCTCCTCGCTTAGCGTTGAGGGGTGTTTAGTTCGTCCTTTCAACAGGTGGGGTCTTGGAGCGCCGACCTGACTTGCGAGATCGCGAAGGAGATCGGCTCCCAGACTTGTTTCTTCCTCTGTTCGGGGACTTGCTCATTCTTTTCTTGTGCCCGTCATTACTTGCATTGTCATTGTCTTTTTTTCTTTTCTCTGCCGGGTTGTCAGTTTTCTGGTTCATTTCCTCTTCGGTTCTGATGAACTGGTTAGCTAGCTTGAGGAATTCTGTGATGTCTTTAGGTTTATTGGCCACCACATGCCATTTAAACTCTTTATGAGTTATGACTTTCTTGGCTGCCGTTAGTCTTACCGTCGGGTCAAGGTCTGGGAGCTGCAGGCAGGTGTCGTTGAAGATTTTGATGTAGCTTCTAATCGACTCCCCTTCTCTAAACTACGTTGAGGAGGCTCTCTTGCGACATCGGGCATTTCTTGTTGTTGATGAAATGCGAGGTAAACATCTTTGCGAACTGTGCTCAGCTCTTGATCGACCCCGGCACGAGGTTCTGGTACCATGTCCGATCTACTCCCTTGAAAGTGGTGGAGAAAGCCACACACATGCAWGACCCGTCAGCCCCAACTAAGTGCATCTGGGACTGGAAGAAGTCCACATGATCATTAGGATCAAAAGATCCGTCATATTTGCCCAGGGGAGGCATCTTGAAATCTCTAGGCATTGGGGTCGCGAAGAGTTCGGGAGACAGGGGAGACGATTCGGAAAGTAGGGGAGGAGCGGCCTTTGTAGCTACCGAGCTCGGCTCCTCCTAACCTTTAGCCTGTTCTTGTTGGTTCGGTCTCGCGAGCTAGCTATTCTAAGCTGAAGTTCGGCGTGCCTTGCGACGCCTCCATTGCTTCTTCTTTATAGGCTCGGCATTGGTGCTGCTAACCTCGGTATGCTCTGGTATTGTTCTGCCGCGAGGTAACTCCTAGTTCCTCGGGGGATTCTGGGGCTGACTATCATGGATAGAGAGGCCTTGCTTTGAGTTCACACCCAGAACCCCGAACTGGTTACCTGCGAGTGACCCATCTTGCTGCGAACGTCGAGGAAGATTAGCCCTGTTAGGTTGAGTATCCCCGAACCTGTTTTCGAGGTTCCCTTATGAAGCAAGTGGAGTGATTTGACCGTCTCTCCTCACACGAGGTGAGACTTGTCTTCTAGGAGGAACTAGGACTTTGGAAGTCTGTTCGCTTCGGTGGGGAGATCGAGTGATGTCCTGGTTCATGCGAGGTCGGTTCTGGTTCTGCTGGGCCCCTAGGTGCCGAGGTGGAACCGACTGCTAGCTCTGTGGCAGTGGGGGGAACTGCTGAAATTGTTGGACCTGCTGCATTTGGATTTGAATGGCCCGCACACACTGCACCAGGTCATCGAACTGGGACTGTCCAACTCCGGGGGGAACCATAGACGGCTYAGAAATGGTTACGCCTACCATTGAGGGAAGTGGGGTGTTCACCTGTGTGGTGTTTTGTGGCATGGTCAGTGTTGGGACTCCAGCCGCAGTAAGCGGGATGGTGAACTGGCCAATGCACACTAAAGGAAGTTGAGGTTGCCCCCTGGAGACATTCATCTCGCTGCTCTATCTGGCGTGATTGGAAAACACCATCGATTTAGAGTGATGATTGTGAAAGAGGCTTTTTGATCGAGTTCCCATAGACGACGCCTATTGATGTAGCGCGATCTGACTACTCCCTATTGGAGGATGATCTGGTTTCCAGTCAGACAACGAGCTAAGTGAATATGCAGGACAGGATCAGAGAACCCGGGGTGGCTAACCCGGCGATGTCGCTCTGATGCTTAAGTCAATAATCTGATGCGAGCTGAAAAGCTTTGAGAGCTTAGAGAGCTAGAAAGTAGAAAAATCACGTGTACCTTGTGCCATTGGGGTTGGTGTGTTTATATATTGAAGTAGTTGTGGAGTTCACGAAAGAGCTCCGAGATATCCGGGGTGTGGAGATAGAGTTCGTTCTGCTTCCGAAGGAGCAGTATACAGGTAAGGCTTATCGTTCTACTTCCGACCCCGGCGGAGTCGGGGTGAGTCCTTATCGTAATCTCGGAAAAATCAGGATATGTTAGCTCATTTTAAATGGTTTTTACTTTTCACCTCAGATTGATATCCATTAAAATATGCTTCATCAGCATTTGATTTCAAAAAATACCAAACAATTATTTCATATGCAATAAACATCATGTAACATCATTTTTTTAATAAATGCCCGTATAAACAAACACAACTTATGTACCCTTGGTGGGTCCTTCCTTCGTAGTAAATCAGGTCTATGGTGCCGTTCAAAATAGAACCCCATGGACACAATAGCCACATGGTTTGACAAGTACACGTTTTAATTTTGCCTCCCCCATTGTCTATTTAGGAAAAAGAGAAGCAAACAAACTCACATGCTGATAGGTTAATGTTGCTGACGTGGTCAACCCAAAATGGCATATCCCATAATAATTTAATAGATGTATTTGCTTGTGAGTTCTGACGAGGCAGGCCCTCTTTCCACGTGGCTTACACTTTGTGCTCCATCGGCAGATGGAACTTCTGAGATATGGCTATGGCTATTTTCTTTCCGAACTAGTGTAAATATATTTAACTGCCAATATAACCCTTATTGGGGAGAAATTAAGTCAACTTAATTAATATAAACGGACTCGTAACAATAAGAACAACGCACGCAGATACTAGATAGGCGCTAAACTAACATTAGGGTTCGTAGGTATTGTGGTTGGGCATATTTTCATTATATAGGACATTGACGTTGAATCCAAAGGACGACTAGTGAACTGTTCATGCACATGGCAAACAGTCCCTATTTGTCTCACAGCTCGCTTTTGGCGTCGCAACTCGCAAGGAACAGTGAACAACAGTCCGTTTAATTACATGTCATCCATTCCGGTCCGATTCATGAATATGATACGGCCAGGGTCCATCTCACTTCTCACTTCTCACTACTCAGACTGATCAGTACTCACCACCACTGACCTAAAAGTATAGAACCCAATCCAATTAATACGTTTCTCACGAGGGAGAGCGCTATCTTGTAAAAAGACTAAACAGTGGTGCAACTCGGGCGAGTTGAATCGGATTGAAGGTCAGCTCGGGCCTAATTATTAATTAATCCTAAAGGTGCATATTTGGGGTTCAGGACTGGCCCAAGTCGTGTTTAACCTATGGTGGAATCAAAATTCAGTATTCAATGCACGTTTGGAAAATGACACGTGGGCATGGTGAACAGGGTGCAAGTTTTAGAATGCCCAAAGATCTGGCCAAGGCTTAGGCCCAATCCATATAAAAACTTGGATTGGATCGGGTTGGGCTGCCCAAGTTGCAGCCATACTTGTACAGTTATACTTCCCCTCCCTCGATCAGAGGCTTCCATTATTCCGACCAATGTTTTAAAGAATGACACGAACGGGATTGTTCTGGCCATAGATTTTTGGGTTGATAGTTTAAGTGTCTAGTTCAAATGAATGATCCATTCTGATAAAAAAAATAAAAAAATAATTAAAATAAAAACAGCTAAAAAACTTTGAATGGGTAGACAGTTTGACCACTTGGTCAATGAATCTTTGACTAATTCAATGGTTTTTTGGTCAGAGACCAGATTTGCGGTAAAATAAAACCAATTGTTTAAACAGTTCTCGGGCCAAATGGCTTGACCGTTTGAATCAACATCAATTCAAAAACATTGATTCCAACCATCCTTGTTTTCATTGGCCAATAATTTATACATGTCGATCACTGATACCACTTGGGATTTTCTGCTCACCACGCATGAACAATAGGATATTCGCTTGTGAATTGTGATTGATTACGTAACCACCCCATTACAAATAGAGTCGTGAGCAGCAGATCTCTAAAAAAGATGATTTAGAGAAGAGCCATTTGGTAAGTCTCTTTTAGAAGATCTTTTCACACAAAGATAAATTGAAAAAAAAAAAACAAAAAACTCCATTTAAAGCTTTTTAAAAATAATCCAAACTTTTTATATTTTTTCAGTACTGTGATTTTTTATGGTTAGATATTTTCTCAACCAAACAGAAAAAGATGAAAACACGCACTATCGGCTTCTAAAATATGGACAGCCCACGCAAAAAGACGCGTCAAACGGGACAGACTCAAGTTAAAACTGGATCTACCTGGTTTATCAACTCAAGTTAAAACCGGATCTATCTGGTTTTGATAGTCCGTAAATCCTAAGCCCATTCGAGGTCAGCCCATTTTGTGAAGTCTTCTGTCCCGGCCCAGGTCATGTACGACACTGGGCTGTGGGCTGGAAAACTTTAAAACTTGGGCACCTGTGGCTGCATATGCGGTGCGGCAATCCTTTGCCGTAGCAAAGGGCGGGTGCCGTGCGACTGCGCGCCTTTCTGCGATCCCCAAAAGCGGGTTTGCCGTTGCATGCCACGCAAACGGTTTTAGTTTTATCACGTGCGTCTCAATTCATCGACATCCTGTCTCCCTCCTCTATAATTATAAGTCTGTTGTTTCGGTTTTCTCCATGTCTCTCTGTTTTCCTTTTGAGGTTTGGGGCGGTCCTTTTGATCGACGAGAAAAGGGATACTTTACTGTTCGACATCCTGAATCGATCAATCGATTGGTCTTTTGATTCTCGTAACCCCAGTGTTCGAGCATGCTCGGAATCCCCAGTGATTACTCCACCATTTCAGTTAGTCTCTCGCGATTATTCTTAGTTCGAAAACATTCAAAATTTAAATCGTGTCTGCGCTTCTTAGATCTGCGTTATCTTGTTTTCGATTTGTTTCATTCTTTTGGTCGAATGAGGAGTTGTGAGTTTTGTGTTATTTATTATCTATCTCTGCATGTTTGGATTTTGTGATTTAGTAGACCTTAGGACGAACTAATTTAATGAAGATGCTTATTTGGTTAGATTAAATCTTTGCTGGCATATGATCTGTCGATGAAATTACTTCGTCTAACTATTTGGGTGGTGTTTCCCTGTTGCTTGGTGAGAAAGTTAAGCAGATAGATAATGACCTTTGTTGTTTCTGTTGCTAAGCTGCATAAGTAACGTATTTTAGTTTTTTTTTTTTGGTAAAGGATGTATTTTAATTAATTCCTCAATAAATTTATCTTGGACCCGTTTTCTCATATCCACATAAAAAGTATTTGACTGTAGTGTCCAAATGTTGTGAAGAGTACTGATTTTATGGAGGATGTTGGGATTGCACGTTGCATTTGAATTTCTTGCGAAACAAAATTCAATAACTTTATATGATTAACTGAAATAAATTTAACCCTTAAAAGGTATGTAATACCACCTTTACATGCTTAGGCAGCAAACAAACGTGCAAGGTATTAAGGCATTATCCATCCCCAAGATGCAACCAAATCATAGAGTTAAATCTATGTTTCTTTACAAACACATTTCTTCGTAGAGACAAGGTATTTTCTTTGTTCTCGATGACCAGAAAGTCTTCATAAAACTCAATTTTTGATATAACATATAAGAGGAATTAGACTAAGCAATGGAAGCAGCTGCAAACTGAGGGTTCTATAGGAACATCATCATCATCATCTAAGCCTTGTCCCAACTATAAGGGGTCGAGTACATAAAATCCTGTTTCACCAATATGTTCTGTTCAGTGCCATATCCATTCTTAAATTCTATGGGAGCATATAGAATATATTGTTGTGGGTTTGCGGAACTATATTTAACATATCTGAAACAATTTGTAGTATGAATTCTGAAAGTGAAGAAACACAAACAATAACTAATAGAACGGTTATATTTATAATAATCTTAGTAGAATTGTTATCTGGGGGTGGTGGGTG